TGTTAACTTGAAAATTATGTACTCTGCTGACACTTCTTCCTGTATTACATCCCCTTTGAACTATCAATAACTTTCAATTAAAATATCAGAATAAGACTGAGATGCAACCATGGTATCTAAAATACTTCTGTTTAGCAGTATAAATGTGAGCGCTTTGCTCAATAGGTTCTTTATATAATTCCTTCATGTACAAAAGTTAATGGAACAAGAAAAGACAGACTCTTTCAGTGCTTGATTTCATACATTCTGGAAAACCAAGCTTCTCTGCATGACAGAATTCCTTTTGCATAAACTCTTAGAACTTCAATTGTTTATACTTTGTTAAATCAGCAGTGGGCAATCTACAACCTTCTACATATTGAACAGCAGTTCCCATTTTGCCTCACCACTGGCCATGCTGGTCACAACTCAGAGGAGCTGAAATTCAGCAACACTTGGAGGGATAAATAAAGTTTGGACAAAGGATGATACTATGAGAACAAATAAAAGGAACTTATCTTCTGACGATGTATGGTCACCAACCAGATTTAGAATGATGGCTTCACAGCAGACAACCTCTTACCCAATGTTGGATAGTTTAGAGCAGTTGCAGGAATCAATTGATATGAAATGGGATGTGGATCTTTAATTATTTTTTTTTAAAACCAAACGTAAGCACCTTTTGTTTACTCTCACTAAATTGGCTCAACAAATGGTGAAAGTAGAGACATGTGACACAACTAAAGGATCAGAGTAAAGAATAACGTTTTACAATGCCCAAAGTTAATAAGTAAACCACTGAGTTCTAGAAAAGAAAATTCAAACCCAAACGACTCTGATACAAATAAATTATTTAAAAGGTTTAAACTGAAACAAGGACAGCTGAAGAACAAAAGTAAAAATATAAACAACTATAAAGCTAATAAATTGGCTGGGAAGTTAACATTTAACAGACTGTTTAATATTATGTATACATCTAATAACAATAAAAATGAAAAGAAAGATACTACAAGAAGCTAAGTGAGAAAGTAAAGAGGGTTTTAACCATACATCATAAAAATAATAATGTAAGCCCCAACCAAATGATAACGGAACCTTCTGAGAAGAGGTAAAAAACAACTGCTTGTCAAACTCAAATAATTGTTGACACAAAACAATCTTTATGTTCTTTTGTGCTGAAAGATCCAACTACGGTTAATCCCAAATGCTGTAAATGCAAGATTACCTGTATCATCCCCACCCGTGAAAAGATGCTTTCAAAGCTCATAAGCTTTTGGGATTTTGGAGAAGAGGCAGAGCAAGGGGGAGTTACAAAGCTCTGTCTAGAGCAGTGTTTTTTAAAATGTGGTCCTCTGCAAAATCAAAATTATTTGCCAGCCTATGTTGAAAAATAATACAGTACTGTATTAAAATCTCATCAAACAATTATGAGAAGCAGTACAGAAGCAAATGCATCAATTTTAATTTTAAATATGATGAATATTGGTAAATATAATCCATACAGGTAGTCCTTGACTTAACGACAACAATTGGGACCGGAATTTCCATTGCTAAGTGATGCGGTTGTAAAGCATGACTACATTGCTTAGCAACAGCAATCCCTGCAGTCCTGGTTGCCATTGTTAACTGAATCCCACAGTCATTAGGTGAGGCAACTTCCTGCTGGCTTCCCACAACCAAAGTCAGTGGGGAAGCCAGCAGGAAGTTGCGAGTCCCAGATCACAGGCAGGTTAAGTGGCTGCTGCTGGGTGGGGGAGGGAGGGAGTGAGGAGGTACACAGGGGCGTGCAGAGGTACTGTGCGAGTTGCAGACAGTATGTGGGAGAGTGCAAGGGTGTGCACAGGTTGGGGAGAATACGCTGCGGTGTGTGAGAGGTGCCATACGGGTTGGGGATGGTCACAGGGGTACACGAGAGGCGTCATACGGGTTGGGAGGGTGCACGGGGTACACGAAAAGCACCATACGGGTCAGGGAAGGTGCGTGGGGGTGTGCAGCGAGGTGCGAGATGTGCCATGCAGGTTGGGGAGGATGCGCTGGGGTGCGGCACAGGTTGGGAGGGTGCACAGCAGTGTGTGAGTGGCCAGCATGATGTGACCACAGAGGGGCTCAGGAGGGTGCGTGGGTGGGGGAAACTTACCCCAGTGACTTGCGACCTTCCCTGCCAGCTTCCCCACTGACTTTCTGGGGAAGCCAGCATGGAAGGTTGCAAATGGCAGTCACATGATCATGGGATGCTTGGCAACTGATCGTAAGTGTGAATGGGTTGCCAAGCGCCCAGATTGTGATCACGTGATTGCAGGGGTGCTGGGATAGCTCCAACTTCAAGGACTGGTCATAAGTCTCCTTTTTCAGCACCATTGTAACTTCGAATGGTTGCTGAACAAATGGTCGTACTACCTGTACAAACAAAAAGTCTTTTGGGGGTCCTCCACAATTTTTAAAAGTGGGAAGAGGTCCTGAGAGAAAAAAGTTGAAGAAATACTGGTCTAGAGCAATACTAAGACAACCCACAAAAGCTTCAATTTTCATCTGAAATTTCAGCTAACAGGCTTTAATCTACTGCATAACCAGCTATGAAATGCATGAATAACTTCAGTTAAGAAAACATCTCAACTAATTTTGCAGTAAGAACCAGTAGATAGGAAGGACTGACTATGAAAATACACTTTGTTAAGGAAGTGGGGTGGAGGAAGAGATTTCGTTAGGAATATTTACTTTTCCGGGACTTCCAAGGAAGAAATGGTGAACTGAAGCTTTGGTGGAGCCAAAAACCACAGCAGAATGAAGAGTCGGCAAGTAGACTGGCTCTTCATAATTCCTCTCTGGACAAGGAGAGGACTTGAGATCACCCACAAGTGCTCCTCGCAAGGAGACCACAAGACAGCAGTCTCCGGCAGGTTTAGAGCTCTGGGAGACGAGGGAATAGAAATTTTGCTCAACCCATAGTCAGTGCCTTTAAGGACACAGGGTTCGCATACTTCCTTTTCTAATCACTTTCACAAATTGCTTCTTAACTGCTTTTCAGCTATTAGGAACCTTTGGCTCAATCCGCTTTATAGCACCAAGTGAGTTTCCTTCAATTCTTAGCGAAAGAAGTTTTAAACACAAGTTTAAGCACTTAATTTTTTTTTCTGGAATGAACAGCAAATGTGACTAAAAATTTGATTTTAGAAAGTTACAAACAGACTAAGGGTCCAGATAAATTTGAAATAAGATTTTGGAATTAATTATAAGAATCGATTTTAGAAAGTTACAAACAGACTAAGGGTCCAGATAAATTTGAAATAAGATTTTGGAATTAATTATAAGAATCGATTTTAGAAAGTTACAAACAGACTAAGGGTCCAGATAAATTTGAAATAAGATTTTGGAATTAATTATAAGAATCCTTCCTGTGGGAAAATACTTTTGTTTTGAATTCTTAAAAAAAAAAAATGATAGGATGGGACTTTGAAAGTTGGACAGTAGAGGGAACAAGAAGGAACTAAAGAGTACAATTAAAGGAGAAGAACACTTAAATTTGACTTACTAATACAGAATGGAGCAAAATATTTTAACATTCAACATACTGAAGGATATTTTTGAACAATGACCTAGAAGTTAATTTTAAGATTATCTGCCTCTATAGATAGACTGTATTTAAAAGATGTTGTGGAAGAGGAACAAGTTTTACCAGAAAAGACTGGGACTGATCTGAAAGTGGATTTAAAAATGACAAGACAAAAATGATAATAATAACATGAAAAAAGATGTTACACTGGATATACAAAAGAAACCGGATGATGTCTTAATAATTAAAAGGAATATATAAATAACAAACCAAGAGAACAACCTGGATAACTTTCCTATATTGGATTTACAAAAGAGACTTGTTAAAGCTTTGAAGAATTTTGTGAGAAGGGACAAAGAAAAAATGAAAAGAAATCAAGTTTTAGGACATTATTTGAAGTGACTACAGATCAAGATTGTTAAAAGTAAAGGAAGGAATATAAAGTTGGTTTATCTGATCAAAGTTAAAATGTATTGTCGAGGGCTTTCACGGCCGGCATACAATGGCTGGTGTGGGTCTTCTGGGCTGTGTGGTC